GGAAGAAAGTCGCCATTTCGTCCTCCCTATGTTGAGCCTTTACTCCGAGATCCAGTGATGATACTTTGAACTTTAGAAACGAGGAAACTGGAGCCGAAATGAGTTTCGCAATCGTCTCTGGGATTGTCACCGGTCAGATATCTGCCACATTTTTTCCCTCGGTCTAGACACATTCCCAAAAGTCTTAGCGAAAGTTGACTCGGCCCAGTTCTCTCCTTGTTTCTAAAGAGGTGAATAGGAAGGTAACTGCAATCATGGCTTGAAATTTAGATCGTAGATTAGCGCTTATCGCCCTTTAATGTTCAGGAACAGGGCCGTTAAGTTAACACATGTTTCATCTCCAGGCTTCGCTCTGTCGGTAAACGCCGTAAAACAAGCGCCAGGGGATTGGTGAGAGGGAACATGAAGCACCGTGAAACGTTTTTCGGATCAATTTAGGTTTCCGGGAAACTGCCCACCTACCCCTCCCCTAACCCAACATTTTGCCCCAAGTGAGACGCAAATGTTAACGTTGAGTTAAGGGAGGGGTAGGTGGGCAGCTTCCCAGAAACCTAAATTGATCCTGATTTCCCTTTAATAGAAAAAGCCAATGAAGAGGTATTTTTTTTCTATTAGTGGGATTCAATAAGATACTTGGATAGTAAAAACTCCGAACACGGGCAGTATAACCCAAAAGACACTTTTTTAATCAAAAGGAAACCAGAAGCAAAAGCCAATTTTTATAAAAATATCCATTCTAGGGAATGCACTGACAAATGCTTTTGTTCATTGATGGCTATGATTTCTGTAATGGAAATGGAACCATCTTAAGAAAGTCGCGCCAACGTTTAAGTTCTTCCGTTTTTTCTTACATGAAACTTCTAATGACTCATAGCATTTTCATACAGTGTAGACCCTAATTCGTGGAGCGCGCGTTTCAAGATAAAAACCGTGGGGGATTGATTGGCTGCTAGCGCAACGGGGTGGGGGTGAGAAAAGGAGAAAATGAAAGAAAATGAGAAAAGAAATATTTCCTTTTATCTCGTCCTCCGCGCTCCCAAAAATCGCCGAATAAAAGAATAAAAAACGTCCGAGGACAGGTTAAATGACTTATTGTGCCTCATTCTTTGTTTTCATTTGATTTTATACATGGAGAAAGTGTTGAAATAAAAAAACAAAAAACCACACCTTCAACCAAAAAAAACGAATTTATATCATTGACACACTATCATAGAAGCGAGAACGGTTTAAAACATAGAGATAGTAAAAACAATTGAGTACTACAGTAAATTTCGAATGGAGCTGAAAGAACAAATTTTACTGCTTTTCATCCTTGCCTTGGGGATCAGCATTGATAAATAATTCTTATACCAGAGCACCATGGGTGAGAAAATTTGGTTATCTATTCATCCAAGAAATTTTGGTAGTGACAAAATCGTCCGTCCGCAATTCAGTTTGCTTTCTGCTTAAGCAGAAAGTTTGCTTACGGCAGACGATGAATTACTTGAGAAAAGCATTTCTTAAAAGATCCCTTGAGAGCTTGGCTTTTGGCCTTGGCTAAATCTATATATTAGCGTAATGCAACATTGTAATTTACCTGAGAGACAGATATCAAAACATCTGAGCGGACCTTTTAGAAAGTACTAGTCGTAAAAATCAGTAACTTTAATGTTACAGTGTAGTTAACGTTTAACAGTGGCAATAAATAAACATTCCAAGTTTCTGAACAGCAAGAATAAAATCAAATAAAATATGAAGTATAGAAATAAATAAAGTTACAAAAAGAAATACAGAATATGAACCAAAAAAACAGAAACTTGTTTACAGCAAAATTAATGTGAAAATGGTTTCATCATTTGTCAAAGAAAATTCAAATTAAATAATACAAAAAATTAAGAAGTAAGGTATTGTATTGAACCAGTCCTAATAAAGAACAGTGAATTTTAAAAAGCAAACTGTCTATGAATGATGTTCATTATACAGTCATGCATAAAAGTCTACAAAAATCTTACAGTAAAAACCCACGAGTAAGAATCTGCATAGATTGGAGGGGGTGTGATGCCCGGTTCTTATCCTGACCCTATTTAAGACCAAAAAATGTCATTTTTCACACCTGTTTTCAGACCTGACATCTTAAATCCATACCCGTTTTCAGACATGGCCTCTAAGTAATTACGTCATCATTACTTAGATTAGAACAGCAACAAAAAAGATTTCTTAAATGCCATTTCGAATTCGCATTTCTCTCCTTTTTTCTTACTGATTTGGACTCGAAACGATAAACACGTTCATACACTTCTGTAATTCCCTCGAAAACTATACCCAATTCAAGACCAAAATGGGCAAAGTCTATACCCATTCTTCAATCAAAACGGCGCAAAAACATTCCTTTTGGGGAGGCACATATCTATGTAATGGCCTTTGTAAGGTATTACCCTCCCCCCCCCCCAGGCATTTTCCCAAGTTAACCTAAACAGGTTCTTACATAAATGGTAATTAGCACAAATTGAGGCTACTCAGTTTTTTAAATAAATTCTTATTTTCTATAGAAAAAATCGATTGAAGATCAGAGTATTTAGTGTTATTCAGTTTATTCCTTTTATAAAATCTGAATACCATTGCATTGCAGTCAGTGTGTAAAAAGGATCATGAATGTAAGGCTAAACTAGCCACTAGCCCGATAGCAAAATCCACCAGCCCCGGGCTATCGGACACTACTTTCTCTGAACGCTGCTAAATGGGTTCTTGTATAGAGGAGGCCCAACTGGCAAATTTTAGCCTAACAGGATCTTAAAAACCAGGCTCTTACTCCCGGGTTTTTTCTGTATTATTTAAAGAGCTGAATACAGGACTAAGAAACTAGGTAATGTTAATTCTGTACATGTATCAATTTTGCATTAAAAGACAAATTTATGGTGTATATTAAATAATGAATTGTGTCCATGAAATACAAGTTACCAGCATACAGCATGCAAGACATTCTTCATCGTTTAGTAAACATGTATTTTTCCATTCATGAGGACAAATTTTCAGGAGTTATATGCCCTGTATCACCCATACATTTTAGGCTCACCCTGCCATTAGGTCGGATTGTTACCCATGTTATACCACAGTGACCAATGGACATGCGCAGCCAGCCTTCTGGTGGAAACTGAAGTACTCTGACAACAGAAATATATGAATAAATAAATAAATAAATAGCAGAAATATAGCCTGCGTGGCAGGCGCAAAAAGGGAAGGGAGAGGGGGAGGGAGAAAAGCACGAAAGAGGGGAAAGGGAAGGGAGCGCCTGCTATAAGAGCCGGTGTTTTTGTAATCCGCCCACCATTTTCTCAACTAATCCGATAATGTCACTGTCAATACGTGACCAATCACAAGTACGGGGCTTCTCAGCATGGTCCGAACTTTAATAATTACTTTGTTTACCGGAAATTGTTAAGTTGAGACGCTTTTTTCCAGTGATATCATAATCGAGCAAAATGAAACATTTTTGCTGTTCTTGCTCCCGCAGCAAACATGACAAACATAGACTACGAGCAGTCTCTCATTTTTTTACTGTTCGCAGTCTACGACAAACAATGATCAGTTTCGTGTGAATACACAAGACCTTTTATCTTACAACCTCATCAAGCGCCTTGATGGTCACAAAGAACAGAACACTGGCCAGCCTGAGACGCGAATAATGAAAGTAAAGGAGAATTATAAACAATTGTCAAAACGCTCAACGGATAGTTTTTACCAAAGCTTCAGCTCTCTCTTTGCAAACCATTTAACACTCCATTCAAGAAGGTATATGTTTTTGCAAAAAAGGAGGTCTTTTGAATATGTCTGGCATCGCAATCGCTTTGAATCGCTGCTTGGTGTATGGACAAATCCAGTATACAAAACCTCCCAAGCATCTCTGCCTGCTAAACAAGCTGTTACAGTTGGTTTAAGTTAGTGTTTTAACGTGAAGTTGCTACATGATTGGAGTAATTTTGATCTCCCAAAGCTTATCCCAGTAGAACACATTTTCTTGATGCCTTCGTCATGTTTGTCTCACGCACTAATACACACCAGGATACACGCCATTAAGTTACTCATTATGGCTCAGCCAATCAGGAATTTGCGGACGCCAGCGTCCGCAGAAATGAATAAAAGGGGGTTCTTATAGCAGGCGTCCCTTCCCCTCTCTCCCCTCCCTTTTTCCCTTTTCCCCTACCCTACCCCTTTCAACCCTACCCCCCTCCCCTTTTCCCTTTTTCCCTATCCCCTATCCCTTTCAACGCCTGCTACGCAGGCTAGCAGAAATGGGCCGCTTCCGAGTGCCAAAAACCCTCACTTTCAAAATGACGCCAAGTGCACAACCTTTCTTGTGAAAATAAGTTCTATTTGCGTGAGAATGAAAAATAATTTCTATATCAAAGGCTGAGCACTTAAGCTCAGTTTGCTACAGAGGCCCCAGAGCACTTGGAAATGGCCTATTGAATGTCTTAACAACTGAAGATTTGACTTGGCATTTTATTACTTTAAAATTACGACTTTGTACTACACAACTGGTGCAGCACTCTTCAGACAAAATCTTCTGTTGATAAGACCTTGTACTTCTGGTATTTTCTCTATAGACCTTCAATCAAGTATTTTAGCAGCAGTCATGCAAATCTAATGAAATCAAGTTAGTGAATAAATAATACATAAGTTACAGTGAGACTACTATAACACGGGCTACCTAGACAAAGTTGACCAATCAGATTACAAGGAAATAACAATACAGTCCGAGAAAGTTAAGTTGTCAATCATAATTACCATGGAATGAAACCAACATGGATGGAAACCAGCCAATAACAACCTACAGATGTCACCTTTTGAACCCACTGAAGAAAGCCTGTGTTTCCTGAGAGGTCTGTTAGAGTGAATGACAGAGCCAAAAAATGTAAATGTTAGTTATATTTTTGTCTTGAGGTCGCATGTTATTGCAAAGCATGGCAAAGGTAGTGAAGAAATTGCTGTTAGATGACAAATACGAGGTCAAGCAAATATATCTCCTAGGTGTTGTATGTAATGTTTTGAATACAAAAACAGTGTCTGGTAAAACATTTTGCTTTCTTGAAAAATGTATTCTATTGATATTTAAATTTTGTCCTTTGAGTAACTCAATGTTCTTTTTTTTACGAGCTGCTGATTGGTCCTCAACCAACTTTCTCGGAATGTATTGTTATTTAAATGTAATATTAATCAACTTTGTCTATTGTGGCCCTGGTTACAGTAGTCCCACTGTAAATGGTGTTCTTGAATCACAGTCTGTTGTTCAGATAAAGTGCTAACTCTGCTGTGTCAGATTATTGTCACTGCCGTCTTGAATTATATATNATAACACGGGCTACCTAGACAAAGTTGACCAATCAGATTACAAGGAAATAACAATACAGTCCGAGAAAGTTAAGTTGTCAATCATAATTACCATGGAATGAAACCAACATGGATGGAAACCAGCCAATAACAACCTACAGATGTCACCTTTTGAACCCACTGAAGAAAGCCTGTGTTTCCTGAGAGGTCTGTTAGAGTGAATGACAGAGCCAAAAAATGTAAATGTTAGTTATATTTTTGTCTTGAGGTCGCATGTTATTGCAAAGCATGGCAAAGGTAGTGAAGAAATTGCTGTTAGATGACAAATACGAGGTCAAGCAAATATATCTCCTAGGTGTTGTATGTAATGTTTTGAATACAAAAACAGTGTCTGGTAAAACATTTTGCTTTCTTGAAAAATGTATTCTATTGATATTTAAATTTTGTCCTTTGAGTAACTCAATGTTCTTTTTTTTACGAGCTGCTGATTGGTCCTCAACCAACTTTCTCGGAATGTATTGTTATTTAAATGTAATATTAATCAACTTTGTCTATTGTGGCCCTGGTTACAGTAGTCCCACTGTAAATGGTGTTCTTGAATCACAGTCTGTTGTTCAGATAAAGTGCTAACTCTGCTGTGTCAGATTATTGTCACTGCCGTCTTGAATTATATATACCATTGTAGGGTATAAGGGCTGGTTTTCCCTTACAAGACTCAAAAGCCTGTGTCACAATCACAATCAGAGTTGTAAGAGTGCTTACGACCTAGTGTAAGTTGAGTAATAAGCTCAGTGGAATAGAAGCTACCAGAATCAGTAAATTTCCATTTTCCTCTGACTCTGCCATAAATTTGTAAAACTCTGTTGTTTACGGTCTAATCCAAACTAAATTATCAGATTTTGAAACAGAAGCTGACAACTAAACCAAGCACAAGGCTAGCAGTTTCCATGCATAGTGACTGGTTTGGTTCTTCTATTGCTGCTTGAGTTGCAGAAATATGCTCACAACAGTGTTAAGTTCGATTTTTTCAGAGGACAGGCTCTTTTTCTTTGCTTGTTGGTATGGTAATAAGTGAAATCAAGTTTCAAAAAACATGCAAAGAAAAGTAAAAAATGCAACAATGAAAAAAAAAACTGACCCAGAGCAAACAGTATATTTTATCCCTATAGTATTTCTATTATTATAAATCATAAATATCTCACCTGCATACAAAATATCTAATGACATTAGCATGACACACATAGATTTCAACACTATCACCAACTTGGTCTGGATCTGCTCTGTGAAGATGTCTCCTAAATGCTGCTTCGATACGCGGGCCATCTTGGAAAAACTCCTCAAAAATTAAAAAAATAAGTTACACAAGACAGTCAGTAAAAAAGAAGAGAAGTAATGGTTTATGTACAAAATAATAATCTATTGACAATGTGCTCTAGGAGTTTTCAAGCCAATGGCCCTTTTAGAAATTAATATGAAGGTCATCTCACATTACCTAGTGACTAATATATAATAATATTTCCCTTGCTTACTTTATTTTACCGAAACTGACACAGCTGTTAATTCAGACCCAGCTGAGAGATCCATTGCTTGAAACCACAATTTGTCCAAGACTAAGTGTTTTGACATAAGAGTAATATTTCTAGAGTTTTATTTATCAGCAGGGCTGACATTAAGTTTTGAAGCAGCTGTAGCAAATCAAGATTCACATGTAACATCTCACAAAATTTATAATACCACCTTTTGCTTTCCACTTTGATCACCCGTAACATCAAGTGAGCTCAGCCGCAACAGGTGTTACAGGTTACGGCCCTTAATGACAGCTCTGATCACGGAAGGAGTTCTGATATTTTTTCAGCTTAACAGGTAAAAGAATGAAGATAGATGTGTGTTGTACCTGGTTTACAATTTAAGAAGTGAAAGAACACTACACACACAATGTAGTTCCTCTGACTCTTTTTCCTCTTAATATTATTGAAATTCCTCCCTTTTTCCGCATAGAAAACAGTGTTCCAAAGTGCAGGCATCTCTGTTTCATTCATTTCAGCCCCCTCCCTCACCCCTCCCTGCCCCACCCACTATTACCTCAACTTCTGGATCTTCTACCTATTGCTAGTGCCATAAACATGTAACTTGGCCTCTAACCCCATTTGCTAAAAGAGTGGATAATGATATCCACTAGATAAATTTCAATCCAGTGAATAATGCATTGTTACCCGTAATACTTAATCACTGGATTGTGATTTATCCAGTGGCTAGCACTATCCAATGTTTGAACAACCAGGGCCAGGTTTTGAGCTACTCACCCTTTTAGCAGGTCTCCAGTTTGAAGAGGAAGGAGGTTCAGGAACAATAGGTGCTCCTTCCCTTAACAAGTCACATGTCTCCCTGGGCACATTAGGTAATTGTTGAGCAATGATGTCTGCTGTTTCTGTTGCTCTAATTAAGGTGGAGCAAACTAATTTGGTGTACTTGATGTTAAGACTTTGAAGTCTCTGACCAGTTTGATTTGCCTGTATTCTGGAAATAGACAAAACAGAATAATTATAGCAATCAATACATACTTGTACTGGGAGGGGACAACTACAAAACTATACAGAGACAAAGGATCAAATATCCCAAGAAGTTGAAGAGATCCATAATGGGCAATAAGGTATACAAGTATACAAGGGCAGATCCTGGATTTTTTCAGAGAGAGAAGCCAACAATAGACGCACAACTTTAATACAATTTAACTCTTTGAGGTTTACAGCGATACAGGCAAGATTGTAGACTATATTATTATAATATGCCCAAAAGACTCAGCTGACATTAGATTCGATGTACTCGGCTGCGATGCATCGTATTTAAGTTGTGCGTCTATTGTTAGTGCTGATCAGAAAAATAAGTTTATCATGGCAGCTATAATGTATATTCTTCAAGCTGACAACTTAAATACTATCGCTTATAAAAAGTTAGCATTTGGCTTTTGGAGATAATGGAACTAAAATATAAGAACTTCTCTGAAGCTTTACCACAAGTGAAACTGGATGCAAATTTTATTCAAATTTGGTCTATTTTAAGGATTCTCATGTACGCGCATGGTACTGAGAAATATTTCAATGTTGAATTTTTCTCTACCTAAGAACTCTTCACAAGAGTTAAAGCATAAGGCGCTAAGGTCCCGTACAGCCACATACATTGTTTTATTACGCACACATGTTTCGACTCTACATAGTCACTGAATTAGTATGAGGCTGCTGTATGGGGTTGTGCAGAAATCTTACCCATATGGCTTTTATTGTTGTTTTTTTTAAAAAAAAGTTTTGTGTCAAGTTACAGGAGAAAATATTGGCAAAAAAGGTCGCAAAATCCAGCTTTCAATAAAAAAAATAACATGACATTTACCTACCATTCTCACAAACCTTCGACTCAGAAACTTGAATGACAACGGCGAACTTACATGTCGAACTTAAATTTCGCATGGGAAATAACAAACCGGTCTAAATTTGAATAATCACTTCCGTGATTAGACCTTGTCACGGTTTTCGACGCCATATTGACGAGTAGGCAAACGTGTGAGAAATTACAGTGTTTGTATGAGAATCTGATGTCGAATAATTTCCGCAGTTCTGAACAAAATATCAATTGTAAACTAAAGCTACAAAGCAAAGGATTGCCCTAAAAAAATTGGGAGGCATACCTGTGCTTAAATTTCTCCAGAGGCTTGCTTTAGATTTTCCATATATTTGTCTTCAATTTTCCCGGGACTTTCTTACAGACAAATGTATAGAAAATTTTAAAAAGTGGTTCTAGGTCTTCTAGTGCATGTAACGCCCTCAAACTTTTTCAGGAGAATCCTTAGGAGTGAAGCTTTAGCTATTTTTTTCAGAACAGCCGTTCTATGGAAATTATTCGACATTAGATTCTCATACAATCACTGTAATTTCTCATGCGTTTGCCTACTCGTCAAGATGGCGTCGAAAACCGTGACAAGGTCTATAGACTTCTCCTTCGCGCCGTTCGCCGCAAATTTACCGGCTGAAACTGTAGAACCTGTACATGTCGTCAAAAACAATGGCATTCTGGGCGATTAGGGATTGATATTGATATTGTCCTTTCCGCACAGCCTTCCCAAGAAGGCTAACTCAACATATTTGAATGAAGTGTCGCGTCTTTTGAGATGATTGCGTTACGCAATACCTGATCTGGGGTGAGCAGTTGTGACTCATCATCAAAGCGTCGATGGTTGTGATCTGATAACTAGCGTGTGAAGAGACCTTATGAAGTCAAAAATTAACATGAAGTCATATTTATAATGTATTACAAATAAAACGTTCTTTCTATACCTTCCCAGCTCTGTCAGTCGCTTGTCTTCATCCTTTTTGGCGCTGTCGTAGTACTGGCCGTGCCTTATGAACACCAGATGCCTTATACCTGTCGGTTTTATCTCCTTGGATCCTTCGACGTCATTTTCAACTATTCCACTATCCTTTTTTCTAGGTTTCTTGGTGCCTGTCTCCCGCAAATCCCAGTTCGAATCCCACTGCACAGAGGATGGTTCGAAAAGAAGCCGGTCGAGTTCCCCTAGAACGCCGGCGCGGTGGCCGCTGGCATGTGCGGGCAATCTTCGGCTGTTGTAGACTATATACGCTCCTGAAAAAGTCACCGCTGCAGAAGCCACTACTGCGAGATTTGAAAGTTTGCGTATAAATGCCATTTTGCCCGAAAAGCCTTTGAAAGACAACGTGTAGACAGTCAGATTTAGCGATATTAATCCGTAGTAAAAAAATTTTGCTAACGGCAACAGGGCACTAGTGTCCAGTTTCCAAACAACTTGTGACGCGTCGTGTGCCTGACTGTTTTTTGAGGTCTCGAGATGCAATGGCGGACACGCCATCAGGTGGTCCCGTCACCAACACGAATTTGGGTCTACCAGTTGAAAGCAAGGAACTTCTAAATCCCCCACTAGAAGAGTTGTGTCAAGGTATGTTACCTTTTTCCATAATCAAATAACATCCAATTCAGTATG